GGGGGGAGCTGGCAGACCCCTCGGACTGCCGAAGCATTGATTGCCATTTCACTCGAAAGTTAGTATCTTTCATATCATCAATCAATCAATCAATCAATCAATCAACTCGTTCTTATCATCAATCAATCACCTCGTTATTATCATCAATCAATCACCTCGTTATTATCATCAATCAATCAACTCATTATTATTATCAATCCATTAACTCGTTCTTATCATCAATTAATCCCCTCGTGCGCGTTCTCAATCAATCACCACCGTGACGCTCGTGCTAGTAGCACACGTCAATCAATCAACTCCTTTTTTTTTCTTTTTTTTTTTTCAAAACTCGATTTAGTTGGGCCATCGATCGCGTGCTCCGTTCCGTCACACGGCCACTGTGACAGCGACTACCGCACGAGTACTCGCAGTGACTGACACGGCCACTGTGACAGCGACTTAGTAAATACGATCCGTGTCAGTCACTTGGAGTACTCGTCGCCACGCTGCTGAATCGTGATCTTGATGATGATACTAATTTGTCATCGTGCTCTTGCTGCCGACACTGCCAACTCATCGGCATGATCTATGATTGATTGATGTCGGGGGGGGGGGGGGGGGTGTTGGTGGGGGGGTTAACTCGCCTCATCATTTTGCTGATTGAAGGTTCAGCGAAATTTCGCAGAATGTCAATCAACGGAAATAAGCGTCATCATTTTGTTGATTGAAGGTTCAGCGAAATTTCGCCGAATGTCAATTAACGGTGTAATAAGCGTCAGAGTATCCGGGACAGAGAGAATGAGAGATGCGGCAGGAGCAGTCGTCGTGATCTTCGCTGACGAGGCTGGCGGGCGGGCTGGACAGCTACCGTCGTCTTCATTCGAACACAATCAAACCTCTTTCTACATGTATACAAGCTATCTTTCCGGTTATGTGCAGCCGTCGGTGGAAGACGGTAGCCGAAATGCATCACAAGTTGCCCCACAGAGAGAGAGAGAGAGAGAGAGAGAGAGAGAGAGAGAGAGAGAGAGAGAGAGAGAGAGAGAGAGAGGTGGTGGGCGCACAATGAGTTCGCCTGCTCGTTGAGCTTGATGTATTATAATTCTTATCGGTGTTGTTGTTAATTATTTTGTGTTTTGGTAATTGGATGATATCACGAAGATCACTAATTCGACGAAGAGATCATCGGTTTCACAAACTTAAGCACGTTCATCTTTTAGCGTATCAGATTCTGCAGGTGGCGGCGAGTGTGCACTGGTTCGAGTCCCTGTTTGCGAATGACGAATCCTTGGATTTTGTTTTTTGGTAATATGCATGCGTCAGCAAGCGGGCAGGCAGGTCATCCTTGGATGGTCATTGGTCATCGGCGCGCTTCGGTAGAAAGCATTCAAGTATGTGTGCTCGGTCACACACAGGCAGCTTTGCGGCTGAACAGTGTCACGGTTGGCAGAGTGACAACTGGCAGATCGACCACAGGCAGAGCGCTCTGTCACACACAGGCAAAGTTGCCGCTGAACAGTGTCACGGTTGGCAGAGTGACAACTGACCGAGTGACCACAGGCATAGTGCTCTGTCACACACAGGCAAAGTTGCCGCTGAACAGTGTCACGGTTGGCAGAGTGACAACCGACCGAGTGACCACAGGCACAGTGCTCTGTCACACACAGGCAAAGTTGCGGCTGAACAGTGTCACGGTTGGCAGAGTGACAACTGGCAGAGTGACAACGGGCATAGTGCTCTGTCGCACACAGGCAGCTTTGCGGCTGAACAGTGTCACGGTTGGCAGAGTGACAACTGGCAGAGTGACCACAGGCATAGTGCTCTGTCGCACACAAGAAAAGTCGCCGCTGAACAGAGTCACGGTTGGCAGAGTGACAACTGGCAGAGTGTCAGGTGGCAGAGTGACAGGTGGCAGAGTGACAGGTGGTCATCGTTCTATGGTCATGGCCGCCCTTGGCAGGATCCGAAAGCAGAAAACAACACAGCTTCTGCTGACTTCTGCTGGAGGTAGCAGTGCGGCGAGAGTCAGCGTCAGAGTCAGGGGCTCTTCTTCGGTTAGTTGTTGCCTGTGCCTGTGAGCTTTTCGCTGCTTGCAAGCCTGCCGCCGGGCTTTACATGGCCCCCATCATGTCCAAGAAAAATGGACCCATCACGTCGAAATGGGTGAGTCACGTCGAGGAATGGAGGAGGGAAGGGGAAAGGGAATGAGTGAGGGGGGAAATGTGTCAGCAGATAGAGAGATTGATGATTGATGACTGGCGGCCGAGATTTGGTCGTTGTCGAGCGGGTCGGACCTCGCTGCAGTAGGGACGAAATGTGGTAAAAATGGCGCGTGTATCTTCATCCCAAAGGTGGAAAGATACACTGGCCATTTTTTTTTGTGTTTCTCACATTTGGCTAGTGCAGCGAGGCCCGTCCTCCCATTTAAGTCCCAGGTACTAGATCCTAGTAAGCAGGACAGGCACTCGGAGGAGAGGGAGCTTGTGGGGGGGGGGGGTGAAGATTTTAATCACACAGCTGAGAGAATCTGGGCGTTGTTCCCTCAAGAAGAACACAGAGAGAGAGAGAGAGAGAGAGAGAGAGAGAGAGAGAGAGAGAGAG